AGACTTCATCAAAAGTCAAAGTATATTTTCGTAGGGGAAACTACTCACAAGGTTGATGAAAATTTTTCGACAGGCCACGACCGGTTTCGCCCTTCATGGGGCTCATCAGGTAGGCGCAGTCCCCGAGTTCCCGTCAACCTTATGTTCTGCTTGAACCCAAATCGTACGAAATTCGACTCATACACTCAGTTGCATACCAAGTTGGTTTTCACAAGAGACTTTATTTGAAACATCACAAACGAGAGATTCAGCTGGGTTTCAGGTGAGCCTGTCGTGACAACCGAATTGGTATGCAAATGAGTGTATTTGTCTAAACCAATCCTTTCGATGGTAGTTCCTCCCTCCGAAGACAGCAGCCCCCCTAGAAAGGCAGAATACCATAAACGAGAGATTCACTTGGGTCTCCCGTGAAAACCAAATTGATTTGCAAATGAGTGAATTTCTCGAGAAAAGTCAAAGTGAATTGCAAAGGGAGGTTTGCAATTAACAGCTTTGCCTGGTTGTACCATCGTTTCGTAAGATAAAAATCAATACATAAACTTTATTACCTAAGTTTGTTTAAAGTTCCAATTGAATTTCACCATGTATTGCGAACACTACCCCAATGCATAACTGTACCACACCTGTATATACGCATAAGTGGTCCACTCCGAGGAACGCAGGATCCCAATCGAATCCAAAAACTTGTGTGTGTTTGCTTACCACCTAGGGGGTGGTAACTTAATTTACTCCACCCTCCTTTCCAAGAAGATGTGACAAGTGCAGTTTTGCCCGTCTTCTAACGCTTTAATTTTGGGGACAAACTCCACAAGACGAAATTTCATCTTAGATTACTGCAGACAGTTGATTGCTACGATAGTCGATTTCCCGAAGGCAGATTCAGTCAAGACTCCCGTCGAAACTAAATTACCGTACGAATGAGTGCACCTGACGAATCACGGTCAATTCGGGTTCAAGTGGAACATCAGGTTGATGGAAACTTGGGATGAGCGAAATCGGATGGGCGACTTCGATTGCTGGATGTCAACGGGCTCCTAGCAATCTTATGGGTTCTGTGATCGGTGATACCTTTTGTCGCATCTTACTCTCTGTTGTGGACCACATTCCCTCAATGCCTTCTTATTACCGTGAACCCCGGTCTGGATAGCCGCTTGATCTCCTGTTACGCTTGGCCAAACCAGAAAAGTCAATGTACGTGCGAGTCGGCTGCTCTATTGATCGCTGTCGCGTACAGGCGGTCAAAAGTGATACTAAGAACACAACTCATCTGTCAAGGGCGAGTGAAGAACAACCAATGAAATCTGTCCCTCAACGAAAAAAGGTTATTCGATTGGCAGTTATGTAGTCCCGTTACGTTTGGAGCTGGTTCTCATAATACTCTCTCTTCCAGTCAGTGTCTGCTATAGCGCCACCCACAGCCTGCAATCACCTCCACTATAAGTCTACTTTTTTACGTCAACAACTGAAGAAAGGATTGGAAAATGTCAACAAATTTATCGATTATATCTTCCAACTGTCGCGGTGGATTAACTAGAACCAGACTGCTGTTATGGCCCTTGCAGAAACTGTTTTTGGTTTATTCAATTTTATGGTCATCTGGCCGGGAAGTGATGACAATTTCGTCTTCTTTTGCTAGGAACATATTGTTACATGTGCCAAATGACATTGGTGTACAATGCTGTCCTGTCGTCAACAGACACACACACACACAGTGGGCACTGTGTGGGATAAAAAGGCGGTAGACTGACAGAAGTTCGGCCTTTGTCAGATCACGGGGTAGACTTGAATTTACAGGTGGGACGGAGTTGGAAGATTTTGAGAGAGCGAGGGGGGGGGTAAAATGGAAGAAACGACTATGGGAAATTTGGTAACCGACTGGGATAAATTACTTTTTATCAAAAGTACACAATGCAGGAATGAAATAAACCTATGCCGACGCTAACTACATCTTCCCGTGAAAAAAACGGAAACACTGGGAAGAAAATGTTGGGCCTCTCGGGGGAAGTAAACTGGAGCAGTCGTATGCGATTCCAAAATTGTGAATGAGCTGATGACTGACGAAGTGAGGTAGGTATATCGGTCTGTTTGAAAGGTTGTTTTTGCTCCAGAATTTGGTAGGGTTACTCGGATTCTCGGCTTAGGAAACCATATCCCAGACGCTCCAGAATTTGGTAGGGTTACTCGGGTTCTCGGCTTAGGAAACCATATCCCAGTTGGACCCACGATTGTCCGTTGCCTACCTACTTCAACGTGTGTTGATCACCACGATCAACAGCATAACATTAATCGTGAACACCGATGCTTTATTGCTATGCAACCATGATGTATTTGAAAGTCTTCTGATGATGAAAAGAGTGAAAATGGGGAAGGGACTTAGTGCTGGCTTGCTACAATCACTCCGAGATGCCTACACCTCCAAACACTCATTCAGGCAATCTGGATAGAAACTGACAACAACTGACATCGGTTGACAGGCATATCTTGCAGCGTCTTCAACCAGGTGCGGTGGGAATCACACGGTTCCAATTCTGGAAAACGAGTCGCACCGACAGTACCGACGTTTCGTAATCTCTGCCATATCCCTCTGTCAGGTCAAGGGTCGGCCACCTCTCTGTTTACGCCACTCCGAATTGGGCAGAATTGGGCATGGAAAACAGCACTCTCTTCGGCAAACGATGATTCGGCACACGCAACACATGTCTCAACCAACGCAGCTTCTGGCGCTGGACACATTCTTCAATGAAAGTACCCGATGCACAACCGAAAACTCGCTCTCTAGTTGTCTCGTTACGGATTCGTTGACACCAACCCACACGAGCTACGGTTCTTGGACAACGTCGAACGAACAACTGAAGACGTCTCAGTTCCGTTGCACGAGCAGGCCATGTCTCACAGCCATACAACAAAACAGCCCGTACTGTAGCTTGATACACACGTCCCTTGAGATTCAGGGATATACTGCTCTAACGCCTCAAATCGGCAAACGCGATCCGAGCCTTGCGGATTCGTGTACTGACCTCATCTGAACTAATACCACCTCCAAGTTACGTAAAACGCTCCAAAACTTCGAGTGCCTCTCCTTTGATCGCGGGTGGTGCGTTCGGTTACGACCTTGAACATCAAAAGGCCTGATATAAGCTAGTACCTGAGGTCCATTGTTCATGACCATTGCTTTTCTGTGCATGTCATTGGCTCCTTTTACACAAAATCTTTGTAGATAATCCTGCGAGCATTACGTCACTTGCAGTTTGCGTCATATGACTGAGGAGTAGTCACTGTGAAACTTCCTGCTGCTGTTGTCCAACCATGTTCGTAAATGCAACTGTTCTGGTCAGACCCGACAATATCCGTCTTCGACTCCATATCTGCTCACTGCCTTTCAGATACTTATGCTAAAGTCCCCATTCAGATGCTTGGATGTAACCAACTCTTCTAATTAGTTTCTTGAGTAAGCAAACTTCACTCACCACCGTGGTCTTTTCGTACTCCTTGAAACTTCCTGTACGTGTAGTTCTATAGACACCAACTCAAAGAGTGTGCCCCAGCCTTGAATCTCTCCACTTCAGTTGCATCAGCTGGCGGACTTGACAAAGTTCAGATTAGTCCGTTCAGCACCCGTGCTCACGTGACACTTGGCCAAACTTCCTCTGTTCGGCGATGTAGCTTTCTGATAAGTATTATCATTTTCAATATACTTAACTGTGAATTTATGCAAATTACGTATATGTATATATTTGCATTCTAATCGGTTCAGTTTGTTTTATTTAATAATGAATGTGATTTATTGACAAACAGTCACACTGACGAACGCAACGACATATGTTCTACCTCACACCCTGAGTACACTCTCCAACATGAGGTTTCAACGGTACTTACACCAGCCACATCACACTTTCTTCCTCAAGATTGACCTCGAAGTGACAAACGTTTACACCCTGTCCATCCCCATCTGTACTGTATTTTCACTTATCAAGCAAAACACACCTGTCAAACGGGGATTCTCCCGACCAGGCTTCAAAAACCTGTCACGGACACATTTGTGCACCGAACCACATCTGTGGCAGTCGTATTCCCGCGGTTTACTACTGGATGGTGCTGCTGACAGTCGAAAGCTGACATGTGCCACGCGAACGTGAGCTGAGAAACTGTGGGGGAACTGTGACAGCTGTTCTGGTCAAAGCTGGGGTGAGAAGCGGCGAGATTAATGTCGCACTGTCATGTTATTCATACATTTGCGGTTGCCGGGACTCCTGGGCGACAGCCGTGGGTGAGGAGTGCTAAACGAAAACTCTATCGGGGACATTGGACGGCTGTTTGCAACCATCTGGAAGGAAGCTTTTTTCTGACACAGCGAATCAAATTAAGGCGTACATGGAAGAACAGTTAGTCTGTTGTTCGGATACAACTGCTGAAACCTCTTTGATAACCACCTTTTGAGTAGTGTGTTACGTCTAGACAATAGGTTATTGCGATAGCTCGTATATCGCACCCATTGAAACATGGGGCACTCTGGCGAAGCGGAATATCGTAGAAAAGAGAGATTTAGCTGGATTCGATTCAGTCTCCTGTCAAGACCAAATTCGTGTGCCAATAACAGTCGCTAATCTGCTCTTTAGGTAAATGGCCAACCCTCACCAGAGAGACATTTGATTCCCAGGGGGAAGACACATACACAGGAAGAAAGAATCGGTGGTGAGGACCGAGAATAGAATAAAAACGGATATCATGATACGCATGAGAACAGATCGAGGTTGCAACGAGTTCGACAGCTCTCAAACACCACTTGAATCCACTAGAGGTGATCCGGAGCTAAGGGAGAATAGAATCACTGCAGGCGCAGAGCATCGGCAAAATCTTATCCATATGACGCGAACGTCCCACTACTTGCATCCTCAGTGTGGGAGTGGTTTCTGATGTCAGTTGCTCTATCCACCCGCTAAATACACTCATTGGCAAACCAATTTAGTTTTGCGGGAGACTCACCTGGAACCCAGCTCAAAATGTGCTGCACCAGGCCGCCTCATGTTTCAGTTGATACGGTATTCGAGATATCGCGATACATGTATAGACGTAACACACTACTCATAAGGTTGCTGAAAACTCTTCGACAGCCCACGACCGGTTTCTGCCTAATTTATCAGCTCTATTTCAACCAATCAGAGTGCGGAGTTAGTTTCGAACTAACGTGAATGAAATAAATCATCACCAGATTAGCTCGATTCCTTCTGTACCAACCAAATTCCCAACCAGATTTGTGGATATTGAGGGGGATAGCGCTCAAAACGAAGGCTGGATAAGTGAGCGGGACATAAATTGCTAGCCACGGGTCCGTGAGTACTTAGCTACCGTTCTTTGGCATCTAGTTTTTTGGTTTTTCCTGTTGAGTCTTTAGTCGATATTTTCGGTTAAAACGAGGTTCTTGTGGTAAACAGGTAGTCCTGTTCGGAAAGGCTCAGTCACACAAAGTTTTGTCCCAATTGCAACTCATCAGGAAGGTGCGAAAAGACCTCTTGTGTCCCTTCGATTATGCCTTCAGGCCCAAGCGTTCGCCGACTGGTGATTTTTCCTTCCTTCAGTTCATTTTGTTCGTTTATCTCCCATTCTCTGTCAAACACCCGAGACTGTGGTGAGGTCGACACAGTATTTACTGCGTATTACATGCGAATTCTTCCGTTTCATGGAGACGCTCGTATTTTGGAGGAAGGAACCAGTTAGGTCAAACGTACAACGGCCTCGTAACTGCGGTGTCAGAAAACGCAGGTTCACTGGTTAGACGAAGCACCAGTTATCGAAAGGCATGTAGGAACAACGGGCTGATGTCAGTTTCCTGATTGGGCTGTCACATAGGAACGAAGTGGATGGATACTCGCGCATCAGCTGGCGGACTTGACAAAGTTCAGATTAGTCCGTTCAGCACCCGTGCTCACGTGACACTTGGCCAAACTTCCTCTGTTCGGCGATGTAGCTTTCTGATAAGTATTATCATTTTCAATATACTTAACTGTGAATTTATGCAAATTACGTATATGTATATATTTGCATTCTAATCGGTTCAGTTTGTTTTATTTAATAATGAATGTGATTTATTGACAAACAGTCACACTGACGAACGCAACGACATATGTTCTACCTCACACCCTGAGTACACTCTCCAACATGAGGTTTCAACGGTACTTACACCAGCCACATCACACTTTCTTCCTCAAGATTGACCTCGAAGTGACAAACGTTTACACCCTGTCCATCCCCATCTGTACTGTATTTTCACTTATCAAGCAAAACACACCTGTCAAACGGGGATTCTCCCGACCAGGCTTCAAAAACCTGTCACGGACACATTTGTGCACCGAACCACATCTGTGGCAGTCGTATTCCCGCGGTTTACTACTGGATGGTGCTGCTGACAGTCGAAAGCTGACATGTGCCACGCGAACGTGAGCTGAGAAACTGTGGGGGAACTGTGACAGCTGTTCTGGTCAAAGCTGGGGTGAGAAGCGGCGAGATTAATGTCGCACTGTCATGTTATTCATACATTTGCGGTTGCCGGGACTCCTGGGCGACAGCCGTGGGTGAGGAGTGCTAAACGAAAACTCTATCGGGGACATTGGACGGCTGTTTGCAACCATCTGGAAGGAAGCTTTTTTCTGACACAGCGAATCAAATTAAGGCGTACATGGAAGAACAGTTAATCTGTTGTTCGGATACAACTGCTGAAACCTCTTTGATAACCACCTTTTGAGTAGTGTGTTACATCTAGACAATAGGTTATTGCGATAGCTCGAATATCGCACCCATTGAAACATGGGGCACTCTGGCGAAGCGGAATATCGTAGAAAAGAGAGATTTAGCTGGATTCGATTCAGTCTCCTGTCAAGACCAAATTCGTGTGCCAATAACAGTCGCCAATCTGCTCTTTAGGTAAATGGCCAACCCTCACCAGAGAGACATTTGATTCCCAGGGGGAAGACACATACACAGGAAGAAAGAATCGGTGGTGAGGACCGAGAATAGAATAAAAACGGATATCATGATACGCATGAGAACAGATCGAGGTTGCAACGAGTTCGACAGCTCTCAAACACCACTTGAATCCACTAGAGGTGATCCGGAGCTAAGGGAGAATAGAATCACTGCAGGCGCAGAGCATCGGCAAAATCTTATCCATATGACGCGAACGTCCCACTACTTGCATCCTCAGTGTGGGAGTGGTTTCTGATGTCAGTTGCTCTATCCACCCGCTAAATACACTCATTGGCAAACCAATTTAGTTTTGCGGGAGACTCACCTGGAACCCAGCTCAAAATGTGCTGCACCAGGCCGCCTCATGTTTCAGTTGATACGGTATTCGAGATATCGCGATACATGTATAGACGTAGCACACTACTCATAAGGTTGCTGAAAACTCTTCGACAGCCCACGACCGGTTTCTGCCTAATTTATCAGCTCTATTTCAACCAATCAGAGTGCGGAGTTAGTTTCGAACTAACATGAGTGAAATATTTTATCACAAGATTAGCTCGATTCCTTCTGTACCAACCAAATTCCCAACCAGATTTGTGAATATTGAGGGGGATAGCGCTCAAAACGAAGGCTGGATAAGTGAGCGGGACATAAATTGCTAGCCACGGGTCCGTGAGTACTTAGCTACCGTTCTTTGGCATCCAGTTTTTTGGTTTTTCCTGTCGAGTCTTTAGTCGATATTTTCGGTTAAAACGAGGTTCTTGTGGTAAACAGGTAGTCCTGTTCGGAAAGGCTCAGTCACACAAAGTTTTGTCCCAATTGCAACTCATCAGGAAGGTGCGAAAAGACCTCTTGTGTCCCTTCGATTATGCCTTCAGGCCCAAGCGTTCGCCGACTGGTGATTTTTCCTTCCTTCAGTTCATTTTGTTCGTTTATCTCCCATTCTCTGTCAAGCACCCATGGCTGTGGTGAGGTCGACACACTATTTACTGCGTATTACATGCGAATTCTTCCGTTTCATGGAGACGGTCGTATCTTGGAGGAAGGAACCAGTTAGGTCAAACGTACAGCGGCCTCGTAACTGCGGTGTCAGAAAACGCAGGTTCACTGGTTAGACGAAGCACCAGGTATCGAAAGGCATGTAGGAAGAACGGGCTGATGTCAGTTTCCTGATTGGGCTGTCACATTGAACGAAGTGGATGGATACTCGCTTACAATGGGCAACCCCATATGCGGCTTGCGCTGAGTCGCATATGTATCCACCTGTAGCCCTATACTCGGTGTGGAACTGGAAGGTGAACAGGGAGTGGGGCAGTTCTGAAGCCATGTACATTCCGAATGGTGGCCCACAATCTTCCGTTCAAACAGGTACATCTGAACACTTGATCCCTACAGTGTGTGCAAAGTGGAATCTGTGGCTTACACCACCCAGGAGAGGCATCCGAGGTACATTCACACATATGGTTAGCGAGCGCCAGTCACCACTCAGCTGGTCTTGAGCAGCGATGGTCATGGATGGCCACATCTAGCACCTCCAGAATGTCCGAAAATCTTGGTTATGGTCTTGTGTGAATGGATACACGAAATGTACTGACAACTAAGAACAGTACGGTGCAATACAGTGCACTGTATATACGTGAGATAGCAATGTCGACCTAACTAGTGCGTCCCCATGAGAAATCACTCGGATTAGGGATGTAGACACAACGAAGCCGTGTGCAAACGGGTGTCTGATGGCCCGCGATTCACGTCTGGACACGCAGCTAGTGCCAGACATTACCTAGCTTGGTTTTCACAACCACCTTCAACGGAAGTCATCTCCATCACCGTTGTAAGCTTGAAGCTCCGGGTTATTCAGGGGAAATTTTGCCGAGAGAGAAGGCAATAGCCGAACCAAGGACGCCCGTTTCGGATAGACTGAAGCCAGAATACATCCACACGGCTTTCTGTGTTTCGACCTGACTAGTTGAAAGTCACTTTTAGTATTATTGTGACTGTATTCATATCATATCAAACAATTAGGAGCCAGTTTAATTTCGAAATCGCTTGCATCGGATACGATATTAGTTATTTTTGAGTACAAGGTAAATTTAGTGCAAGAAATCGCGCAGAAAATTGGCGGGGGGGGGGGCTCGTTCGTTTTCCGTGAAATGAAGGGTCATATGTGGTACACTGCCAGAAAAAAAATCGTTCAGCTATAGCACCGTTCCAGTGTCTAACTGCCATGCTACCCGAAGGAAATACGAGGGCTAAGATACTGTCAGGTTGCCCAAGCCTAGACAGGAGAAGTCGAGAGGCAGAGGTCGGGTTCGACCGCGCTCTAACCACTTGGGCCATCTCGCCCCCCCCACTGCCAAACAGACAACACACACTCGACAAAGTGCAAACACATACCCTCCTTGTACATCTGTGCCAACGGGAGTAGAAAGAACGTCAGATAAAACAGGATTGGCGATATGTCACTTGGTGCACCATTGAGTTCAGTTTTGTTTGACCCGAGCAGGTAAGAAATCAGATCTATTCGGAATGTCAGGTAACCGTAAGAATAATGTGAAACCAAGTGACAGTGCTGCCTATCGAAAGTTCAACCCAGTGTATTTTCATAAAGGAAACTACTCGCAAGGTTGCTGAAAACTCTTCGACAGCTCACTACCGGTTTCGCCCTTCTTGGTGCTCATCAGGTAGGCGCAGTCCGTCGACATTATGTTCTACTTGAACCCAAATTGGACTGTTTTCGAGAAATGCACTCATTTGCAAATCAGTTTGGTTTTCAGGAAAGACCTAACTGAATTTCTCGTTTATGGTATTCTACAACTGAATGTGTTGCAGACAGGCCGCCTCATGATTCAATGTTTTCATCCACAAGAGTTCATTTTCAGCTTGATTCACACCTTCAGGAATAGTGCGTGGATAGGGCGTCATCGCTGGTTAGGTTAGAGCAAACTATTCCATTCAGAAGCAGCGTGTCGGCATCTCTCTTGTGGATTTCTGACTCCGCTAAGTTTAGTGAGCAGTACTAACTGGCACACATCAAACGCTTAAAGACTTAGTTTTTTTTGCGAACAACTAGAATTCGGGGCAGAACCTGGTCAGTTCTCGAATATGATCCGGAGAGATGTTGACCAAGATATTGGCGAGGACAACGTCGATGAAGGCGAGAGACATTGTTGACGCTAATTGACACAGCTGATTCAACATCTGGCGCATGATGAAATTGAATGAACGACTTCGTTGATTCCGAAGACCACAGACTCATTCATAAATCGACTTCCCTCGAGCGAATCACTTCTGCTATGATAACAGTGAACATTTGTTTTGTTTGAATCGATCTTGTGTGTTCAAACAATTCCAGTGCAAATCAATTCACCGAACAGAATTCCATCGCTCTGTCCAGAAGATAACCTAGTTAAAAGTACGGAATCAACTTGCTTGCGTGATGTGGGTGCGATGTATATTACATTCTTTTCGAGCAGCTCTGCTCTGTCCTAACAGTCTCTCTATTTTCAGTGAATACCGTTTACTTCAGAGCAAAAGAGGAATCTCCGGCTTTCGAGAAGGTTGTTGCGAGGCTCTTCTCAACTAGACGAAAGCTGTCTCCACAAACAACGGTATTCTAACTAGTGGTAACGAGTTTAGGGTAGCGGCACTGTCTCAGAATATATCCACCAAGTTTTCTTCCTGCCTGCCTGAAGCAGCGGGTTAGAAAACGACCACCGGAAACGTCTAACGAGTCAGGAGTTCTGGAACATGAAGACTTGAAGTAAATTCATAACGAATCACGGGATAAAATAGGGCTGAATATACCATTTTGCCAAGTTCTTAGGGATGAGAATAGCAGTCCACATTAGCAGTAGAGTCTGAGGAATGCACCGACCCCGTGAATGTTTCTTCAAGATTTCTTTTATCACGGAAGACCTACTTTCATGGGCTCAGGTTGGGATCGTACACCCCATTCGGGGGTGGAGTTTATTTGTCCAGAAGATTAACACACCTTTCCTCCCTCCTATTCGTATCCGATTAAGAGGGTACCGGGGAAGTTCAAGATCACACACGAGGTAGCCAAACCATCATGTACGATGCTCCCCTTCACAGGGGGAATTATGCTATCGTGGGCACGTTTTCCTCTGCCCCATAGTGCGCGCGCGCGCGCTCGTACGCACCCACATTTTGCCCACTATGTTGACCTGAATATTGCGACCACATTTTCTATCAGAATCCCTTGCGTTCATGAACTTTGCATGCAGTTGTGGTCCCCCCCACCTCGGGGAAAAACGTGTGAAGAAGAGATTAATACCAGTACGAATACTACAGGTTTATTCATTTTGGCAAAGCTATGCGGGGAGGCTGAATGGCAGGGAAGACCACCCACTCAACCATCTAGACACGCACAACTCTGAGGTTCACACGCACACACACACAGAGATGGAGAAGAGCGAACAGAACCCAGATTCAGGATGACAGCTGCCTAGATGGTGAGAGAAGCGATGTGAGCTAGCTGCCCACCCACTCCAAACGTCTTGTCATCGGAGGTGAATCGCAGATTTATTGTTCCTTCAAAGTGTATGTGCGGTTGACACGTAGACATTGTGTTTTTGTCCATATGTTCGGTTTCTGAATCGTGGCTTTTCGGTGCTCAGACGACTCAGTTTGTCGGTTGCGCTATTGGCAGGAGTGGATGACTTTGATCAGCAAAGTTCTGCAGGTTTTGTGGGTGTTCTGCCAGGACTGATTACGTAATCATCACTTGGAAAGAAGGTGGTGTAGCGGGGAAATAGATTTTCTGAAAAAAAAATACTGTGACTGAAGCATACCCCACGTTGCTTTGGTTGAACTGATGATACTACTTATATCTGCAAGTTTGTTTGCACTACAGTGCGACTGATATCTCTAATTTTTCAATCTTTTTATGTATATCCCACCTGAAACCGGTGGGCTAGACTTTCAAACAGATGTTTGAAAACTTTTCGGGTTAGAGGCCCGAGTCAAGGGAAAATAACTGGACGAAGAATGGCGTAACTCGGCTCATCTCTGGGGGGTCATTGTTGAGGGGTAATGACACACTAGATCATGGCTGATGGCGATCCTTAATGAAGGTTGACCTGGCGTTGGAGGGAGAATACCGTACGAAAACCAGCGTAGTTACAAATGAGTAGAGCCATGAGAATAAATAGGAGGGAAACCGGAAGTCATTCGGTCACAGATGTCATTCACGTCGGCTAAAGGCCATCGTCTACAGCATGGTGAGGAGGATCCGTTGACGAGTGTTCATTAATTTGAGTTCTTTCAAGGACACGTTGTCACGCAAATCATAACAGTTTCAGGCTGACAGAAACTCGGGGACTGCGCCTACCTGATGAGCCCCAAGAATGACGAAACTGGTAGTGGACTGTCGACGGATTTTCAGCAACCTTATGAGTAGGATGTTACAAATATCTAACAGTTTTTGTTGGCAGTGCGAGGGGCTTGAGGAATTTTTTCCAACGGAGATTTTGTACTCTGAGTGAAGCCAGCCTTTGCTGAATGATCGGAGAGGGAATCACCACCGACAGCGGGCATTGCACGATCTCGCGGCCAGTAGTTCGGACACTTGGCCGTCTGGCCACGAGCATCTAATCAGCCCTGTGGTTCATTCCCACCTCATAACCCTTTTTCTCAGAGATTCCACGTACCTTAAAGTAGTTATTCTCCATCTGTCACTAGAAAACCTTGTTCGTCTAGTTCACCCCAACGTAACAGTACTCAACTCGGTGAAACCAGTTATCTCATGAGTGTTCCGTACAGGATTCGACAGCATCTCTTCCTATCACTCTTGCTTATGTGACGGAAAAATTGTTCACCTGTAGCAACTTTTCGGTGCCTAGCTGTCATGCCACCCTAAGGTTGCACGAGGGCTGGGATGCTGCCAAGTTGCCCAAGCCTAGGCAGGGGAAGACGAGAGGCAGAGGTCGGGTTTGAACCACGGAGTTCCGATCAGTAACCACTCGCGCTCTAACCAGTTGCCCCATCTGGCTCATGTAACCATAGGCTGACTCGATATTAACAGGCCGCTATCAGTGCTTACACGGTAGGATCGAACCGATTAAATTCTTGGTGTCAGATTCAGTCCCGTTTCCGGTAACAGATAACACTGGTTGCGGTGGCAAAACGAATCAACTCGTCAGATAAAATGTTACCGTCGAACCCCTCCAGCACGACGCTTTGGTGAGACAGTTTCACTCACAAATACGCTAAAACAGGCACATCAGGATTGCAGGAACTCAGAAGACTCTACCGCGGTGATGTGGATCTCGCTCGTGAAGAGACAGAATTCTGTTCAGCGGCTGTGAGGACTCGGTGGAAACGGGAGTTTCTGAAGGGATCGTAGTGGCCACAGAATCACGTGTTTCAAAACACGTCCAAACAGAATAAACATACGCACTGGAGTATCACTTTTGAATTTTCCCGTGAAATTGTTGTTAAATTTAGTGGATTGCAACATAGGAAGAACAGTGTGAATGTCCTCGTGGGGGTCGTTTGTGATTTTTCGATTTGGACGTGAACTACCGAAAATGGGATGGAATTTCTCGAGTCATGACACCTGACCCGTTTGTTCGTTTTTTTCACGTCAAGATGTCTCATCACTTTTCCAAGGACCTCCCGAACTGACAGAAAGCCTAGAGTGTGCTGACAAAAGTCTAACGTGGACTAGATATCGAGTCTAGATGTTCTGGTTCGATTCCTGGTACAAAGTTCGATTCAGCATTCATCATACCTTAAATGATATCAATTCATCTTTGTATTTTTATCGAGGCAGTGTAAGATTTACCACCATGCTTCCTGCAAGATGGCCTTAAAATTTTTTCTGAGGCGCGCTGTCATGAGCAGAAATCAGGTGGAATTGGGCAAAAAGACGATTTTTGCCCGAGGGGACGGGCTGGGTCGTTCATTTGTTGTTCGAAAGCTGAGACGACTGATCATATGACAATTGTGAACCATTATTTCACGTGATCCCATCAAATCCCGACTTTATCTGTGAACTGACTACTGATGAAATCATGGGTGGGTTGATTCTTATTCAGAACGCTGAATGAATGTACCGGTTCGCTAAATACACTCATGTGTTCGAACGGTAGACTCAACTGAGTTCAGCTGATGTTCATCAAATGAATACCACGCACAAGGCCGCTTTCAGTTGGTGTGATATTCGAGACCGAAGACACTACCAGTGAAAGAAAGAAGGCCTTTGCTGCTGAGTTATTTATTAGAAAATGCCAAATGACCAGTTACAGACCATTGGACAGGGAGGCAAAACTCTTGGTTGCATCTTATTTACAAAAACTGACCATCCATCTCCTGAACGCGTCTTCTTGAACATTTCTGGATATTCAGTGACTGTTACTCAAATCCGAGCAAGTGCCACAAAGCGACTCCACAAATTCCGCAAGA